ACTAACTCATGTTATATGATTGCCTTATAAACTAATTTAAACCAGAAAATGTTCAGCACCTCTGGGAAAATGAATGTATAAATGTTTAAGTTGTTTTGTGCTCATCAAGGCTACACCACTTTTTTTTTAACTGAGTTAGGTACAGCAGCTTTAATTTTGTCTCTAGAAAACTCAGGGCAGTTTTCTTTGAAGCAGTTAGAGTACAAAAAGTTCTGGTTCATGTAGTGCTGTGGTTATATCTATAGTAGCATTTACATCATCACCAAGTAAAATAGTTGATATGATCATTAACAGAGGAACTGCAAGCAAAACATGAAAAGAGAAATTATACTGCTCAATCTGCTAACACTCTTCGACTGCTTCAGCAAAATAATGAAAACAAAACCTACAGTGCCCTGCATAGAAACTCTTGGTAGAGATTATTACATGAACTAAAAATATGGTTGAAGGGAAAAAATCTATTAGATGAAAAAATATTTCAACAGTAGAAAAGCAAGTGTGTGTATATATAAATAATGCATAAATGTATATTAGTCTTAAGGTTGGAGTAAGCTGGCAGTGAAGGGTCTGGATTTCCACTGGAGTTATATGACACACGTATTAATGATGTGCAGAAGACACAGAGATGTGATGTTCTAAAGTTGGCAGATAATACAAAACTGCTAACAGTAATCAAAGCTGAAGGAAACCATGAACAAATGCCAGTCCAGATAGGCAGTCCAACAATGAAGAAATCCAGGGTAGAAAAACATAGTGGAAATAACATTACACAAAATTCTCTCATGCACCGCTTGATGCTGAACAAGCTCTACATACCTGCTTACCAGTGTGGACAATTGAGAGCTGCTCAGGCAGAGGTGCTGCTTAGAAGAAAAATCTGTGAAAACAGTGAGAAAATTATAATGAAAAATTTATCTTGCTACACTTTCAGCTTGTGCTTTACATGCTACCTCTATGATGGAATGACCGGCTGGATAGATGAGGGGAGAGCGGTGGATGTTGTCCATCTCGACTTCACCAAGGCTTTTGACACTGTCCCTCACAACATCCTCCTGGGCAAGCTCCGGAAGTGTGGGATAGATGAGTGGACAGTGAGGTGGATTAGGAACTGGCTGGATGGCAGAGCTCAGAGGGTGGTCATCAGCGGTGCA